AGAGAGAGAGAGAGAGAGAGAGAGAGAGAGAGAGAGAGAGAGAGAGATACCGACCGACCGACCGAGAATGAACATATCCTATACGGTAAAAATGATGAGACGGCGCAGAAAACGCACAATCCAAAAATATGGAAAAGCCACCCAATTTCGCCCATACCGATAATGGCTTATCGAAAAATAACAACAATGCCAAACAATAAGCCACATCAAGTCAATTTCTATATTTATACACACATTATGTTGTGCGTATGTATATATGCGTTGGCCCCATCGAAAATAATCACAAGTCGATTCTTAATCAATTTTTTTCCCTTCTTCTTTTTCTTCTCCTCCTTTTTTCTGCTTTTTCTTATTTGGTTTGGCTAAAAGCGTGCGCTAGCAAGCCAGCCATTACCACGATGCAGCACAAATGATGTCGAATATCGTGAATTTTGCGAATGGCAACAGTAGCCAAATGGGAAGCAAAACACAGACAGAACGTGACGCAGAAGAACGAAATATCTTTTTTTTTCGGTTAAAGGAAAACATGATCCTATTTCTCTCTCTCTCTCACACACACACACACACAGATACACAAAACTAACAAAGAAAAAAAAGAAGAATTCAATGCATTATAATTTCAACTAGCGCAAACCAGTTATTTTGATAGTATTCCCAGCGATGTGAGGAAGCAACAACAACAACATGATGACAAAAAGATATATACGCTCGTCATAGCAAAGAGATAGAAATTTGAGGATAGAATCATCGTGTGATTCGACGATAAATCTATTTCACACACCAAACATTTCCTCATGTATCCTCTCTTTCTGGCTGCACGATTCGTCAACGTTCACGTTGTGTGATAACTCTATGTACACCGACGAAATAATAATCTCGCTCAAACGGCGCCCAAAAAGGCTCCACCAAGTGAGCAAGACAGATATGTTTCGGGCTGAATTTAATTTATTCCAAAATCCGAAACACACACACACACATTCGCATACAGGAGCAAGAGCTAAAGCGGGAGAGCATGGCAAAAATAAAACAACAAAAATTAATTAAACTTTGATTGTGCTCTCTTTATCTAACTGACTCTCTCTCTCTCTCTCTCTCTCTGCTGCTCTAGCTCATTATTATCATGCCGAGAATTTACGTATGCTTCGTCATTTATTTATTTTTTTTCCTCAATTCATCTGAAAATTCGAAACACGAACATAGCACCTGTTTGGCAAAGCATAGATGCGTCCTCTTTTCGCCGCCATCGCCGCCATCGCCGCCACCACCGCTGCTGTTGTCATCGTCAAACATACACACACACATAGTGGAATGCTATTAGCAGTTCCCAAATTCATTACATTCGATATGTGTTCAACTTCGAACCGACGATATTTTAAATATCGCCTTTCAATCTTTTGAGATGTTTGTTGTTCGGTTTTTTCATTTAATTCGTGCAAAACTAATTTTTTTTTTCATCGATTGCAAGAGCCGCCGCACTCTTTTTTCTGTAACTCTGCTCTCATCTCATACGCGTTGTTATACACTCGAACAGAAATTGACATTCACTTCGGGTGCTCAGCGGTCGTGGTGTGCGATATGAGCGAGAGAAAGAGAGAGAGAGAGAGATAATGACGATTTGCGCGATGTATTTGATGGCTCATATCATAGCTGTGTTCGCCTCCTCTCAAGAAATTGGAACTCAAGAGCAAATGAACACTTGAAGTTCGAATCGCCCCGAAAAGACGTCACTATCTCTAGCTCATCAGCAGGAATGTGATGTGCGGTGAGCGCACTGAGGCAACAGCAGCAGCGCAATGACAACAGCAGCAGTGATGTGTGCTGCTCATCCACTAATAGCCACATTTCAATATTTCATTCAAATGTAATCTCACTTCAAAATAGTGAGAAAGAATTTGACATTTATTTTTAATACTTGTGCCATGATAAATGCAATTTATTCACTAACATTCTTTCGGTCGGTCGGTCGGTCAGTCGGTCGATATGTGTGTGTGGTTTTGTTGTTGTATTTTATTTTTATTTTCTCTTTAAAATCTCAAGGTAATTATGTGCATTTAATTATGCGAATTTAATCACAATAATGATCTTTCGATTGTACGAACACGAAAAAAATACAACAGAATCTTACGATCAGCAAAACACAGAAGGGAATTTTGTGTATTGAATAGTACACAAGTTGTTCTATGTATGTTTTAACAGCTAAATGAAAGAAAAAGAGAACGACCGAAACAAAAAAAAAAACGAAAATTATTATATTTTGCTTTGCTTATACGGTCGCTTATTTGCCATCCCTTTCCCGCTCTCGGCGAACGTGAACCATGGTTGCGCGTTGTTTCAGGTTCTTGTTCTGGCATTCGTCATTCTCAAACAAGTATACAGTGTTGTAGTTGTTTTTTCATTATTTTTTGCGCGCACACACACGGTCGTCACGCACAAAACAATGCACGCGGACTTTATAGCATTGTGATGATCTAATCGGTTGAAAGCATAAATTCACACAATGACAATACCATTTAATATACATAGACAATTGAGTCTCTCTCTCTCGCTCTCTCTCTCTCTCGCTCTCTCTCTCTCTCTCTCTCTTACTCACTCATACACACATACTAACGCGTATGCATGCTAATGAATATTTTGGGTAGAATGAACATGGAAAGGACGATCTATCTTGTCTCGCTGTTGTGTAAAATGACATAGAAATGACTGAGCGCGCTGACAAAGCGGCTTCGCCTCATTATCAAATGGCTTATACATTGATTTTTCGGCTTGTTTTGACTTGCATCCCATAACATAGCCCATTATGGAAGTTAATTTTCAGACGCTGATGCCTATTATGTCCATGGGAAGAGTGAACGACTGCGAAAGCGAGGGAGGGAGAGCGATATAGGAAGTGTTTTAAAGAAAGTGAATTAGATGGATATAGTAACAGAGACGAAACATCGATGACAGATTAAAACATTGAATGTCATCAATCATTAGAGAATCCTGAGAGCCATTGTTCATGTATGTGTCTGTGTGTGAGCACATCTTGGCGATTGAAAATGATTCTACAATCGCTATATCGATATATTCAATGATTGAACTAACATTTTCGTACAACAAAAACACTCAATTTCATTGTCTATTATCAAAACAAACATCGATTCTCGCACGTACTCACACAAAATGTGGTTTGTTCGTAGCAAATTTATGGAAATCTGGTGTCCAAAATATAATCTCCCTTCTTCGTTCGGTGTGTTTATGTGTGTGTGTGTGTATTAAAAGCACGCAATTAAAATCGCGGAGTGACCGACAGATGGAAAGAGATGGCTTGTACAAAATGAATTTAAAAAATCTCTCTTGAAAACAACACGCACACACACTGCATATACTTGTCTCCCTTCGCCTCGTACTATACACACAATTTGGTCTTAGCTGATATATTGTATATTTATACAAATATATTCTGTATCGATATTTCTAGGTATTTTTTTTCTTCTGTTAGCTGTAATTCGCTTTGGTGTCTATTTGTTCAGTTAAAAAATAAAAAAAAATTCTGCGGCTGCCCATGGTATGAATTCAAAAATACTGAAAATATGCAAACATCCTCGCTCATTTCTCATTCTAGTGCCATATAATCAAGCTCTCGCGCGCGCTACACACGAGAACAACAGAGAATAAAAATGTATCAATAAAAAATACATAGGAACTAAAAAGCAACGGCAGCGATGATGAAGCAACAAGAGATAGATTGAGAGAAAACACACAACGCTCACAAAAAATTACAATGAAAACTAGAAAGAAATTGAAAAAAAGCACCGGGCATTTGATATCTGGCTTCGACTCTCTTCGTGCGCTCTCTCTAACAATTCTCTTTTTTTTGCGTGATGTGTGTACACATTACTGAATCACTGAATATCGCCGAAAAAAAGCACGCACACCGAGAGACACATACACATGACACGACACACAGTTTAGAAACGAACCGAAAGGGAAGAAGAAGAAGTAGAGGTTATAGCAGCGGCAGCAGCAATTCGGCGAAATGAATAGCACAACGAAAGAAGAAGAAAACGCGGCCGAAGAAATGTATGCCGATTTGAATGAGATGGTAATAGTCAAACTAGAGAAAGACGTAAATAGAAGCATAACTCCCACGTCTCAATAAAAATATACTAAACTCATTTGTTGTAGTTTAACCAAAATGATATTTTTGATTCTCATACACATATAGACACACGGAGTGAAAGAGAAGCGATACGAAAACGAAGCGAACAGCAGCAATAGAGAAAAAAAATTAGCGAACGAATAAAAAAAAATCGATTCAATTTGGCAAACACTTGCACTTCACTGCTTCTCTCACACGCAGTAAATGCATCAAATAGGGCACAACAGAGGCAAAAAATAGAATTCTTGTTGTAGCGATGAATTGAACAAAAAATATATTATATTCACGATATATAACTAACGAACTATCTCTCTCTCTCTCTCTTTTCATATGTAACTAGAAAAAAAGTATCATAATTTTTTGTTTTCTCTACTCACATAAAACTGAACCAAAATGATGAACTTACATTTTGTCTAATATTATTTTTATGTCGAACCGAAAAATAACAACCGATATGCAGTAATTTGGTAATAATAAAAAAAGGAACCCGAATGTATGTCGAGAGCAAAAGAATATCGTGTATATAGAAAATCGAATGGTTGAATGAAGAAAAGAAAAAGAACCGTACTATAATACAACTGGTAGCAGCAAATCCACAGTGGTGTTGTTGTTGTTGTTATTATTTTTGTTGTTGTTGTTGTTGTTGTTGGATGTTGTATTATTTCTTTTTTATATGCATATACATGCAATGGTTCCTCAGATATTGGTATCGCTTCGTTTTTTTTGTTAGTATCTTTTCGCCGATTAGAAACACACTTGAGGAAGAAAAAAAATTCGTTTTTTCTTTCTTTCTATTTTCTTTTTACTTCACTTTGCACCACAAATCATGTTGCTTACGTTGATTCTCTCTGAGTTCTGGTCGTTCGCCGACGTTGTCTTCGAATGTGATATCTTTCTATGAAATCTTTTTCTCTTTATTTTTGCGCTTGTGGTTTTTGATGAAAATTCAATTTGGTTTCGGTATTTTGTGTTGTTGTTTAATTACTATACTTTTTCTTTTTTGTTTCCGGAAGGAGATTTTCGTGGTCACAAACAAAACACGGTAAAAATTAAGGAGAATAAATAACCAACAGAAAAGAAAACGGAATCCAAAACTACCGAACGTAACACGAAGAATTCAACGATGATCGATTTGGTTGTAATTTCTTCCGACTCGGTTCTTTTCAAACTCGATTTCGATATCGGTTTAGTGAATTTTTTTGGCTGTTGTTGTTGTTGTTGCTGCTGCTGCTGTTGTGGTGTGTGTGTTCGAAAATTGACAAATTGGAATTTGCAATTGAACGAACAGCTTTTTTTCCGTATTTGTTTTTTTATTATGCGATTATTTTCATTTTACTTTTTTCTTGTCCCGAACACTTTCAGCATTAAACTGACGTCAAGTAACAGAAGAAAGAAAAAACGTCTTCTTCCTTCTGCTTCTGGTGCTGCTGCTACTCCTTTGCACACGAAAAAAAAAAACGTAAATTTATACGCGAGAACGAACGAAAACAAAACAAAAAATAAAATAACGTCAACGGGCGAACGGAAAAAAAAGTTGTGAAAACTGGTGGAAATTTAAACCCAAAAAATTACTGTATATTTCGAATCGAAGGAACAAAAGGCTACTAAATTGTACATATAAATTTGATATTATTATTATTTTTTTATGTAGAAAAAATAAAAAAATTAGAAATATGTGTCCACGACCACGACAAATGCACGCACACACTTCACACTTTCTCGGGCCAAACACACAACGAATATCACACCGTTCGGAAAAAAAAAATTATGAGCAAAGTAGCTGAAGTGTATGGCAGCGCGCTTGGTGAGTATAATCATGTAATTTTTTTCTCTTCTTTTCTTTCGATCGACAATGTTTGAGCGTGCAAGAGCGAGCGAGAGGCAATGAACCGCACGAACGAGATGGATGACAAAGCGCAAGAGAGACAGACAGTGTGAGTAGAAACGAGGCAATAGGGCAATACCGATGAAAGGAAAAGAAAAATACTGCCATAGAGCAGCCGCTTGTTCAAGTCAAAGTCGAGAGCGAGCGAGACATAGAGATGGAAAATGAGAGAGAATTCGAATTATCAGAGAGAGAGAGTAGCAGCAGTGCTACTCGAGAGTGTGTCGTTCGATGTAAGTGAGTGAGTGTGTATCAGTATTCGGATGTGTGATGTGTGTGATGGCATTTTCAAATACATGCTCACACACAACTCACAGTATCTCAGTGGTGTCGAGTGTATCGCGTATACTAATATCACGCTCAGTACGAACATTTTACTCTCTCACTCACCGCTCTCTCACACATAACAGCGGCTATTGCTGATGACGAACACAGAGAAAGAGAGCGAGAAACAAACGAAACGAACGAAACGAACGACAGGAATGAGAACATGTACGATGAGAGCGAAACGCAAACGAAGAGAGCGAGAGCGAAGCGCAAGAAAGAGACGGCCACCAAAAAAGAAATGTCATAGTTATAGATCAGCATTAGCAATCAGCGCTATGGTATGAGTCAACGGAAGCCATTTTGAAAGTATAATATTGGCGAAAAATATTCATAATCGTCGACGTCGTTGTCGTCGCCGTCGTCGTCGTTTTTTTTTCTCTTCTTTTTCGCTTTGCTTCTCTCATTCTCGGCCTGTACAGAAAAACTTTTCAAGGGATCACATGAGCAGATGTATTTTTCTAATTGAAGGCATGCGACTCTTTCACATTTTGCATCAAAAATAGACGGCCAACCGTTTCAGTATACTCTTTTTTTTTCTTTCGATTTCTTTTCTGTTCATTGCAAACACAATCTTCTTCTCATTTTATCCCTCTCGCCAAAGAGTCAAATTAAAATATGATTTTATAACTGATATTTTGATGAATTTTTTTGTTTGTTTGTTCTGTTTTGTTTTATATTGATACTTACTTCACTTCATAAAACCATAATAACATTTGAACCACAATGTAATTTAAGTTACGTTAAAGGCGCATTATTTTTGTTGAATAGATTTTCTTTTTTTCTTTCTGTATTTCGTTTCGGTGATTTTCTGGTTTTTTTGATTATTATTATTTGTTGTTGTTGTTGTTGTTCTAGTAGTTGTTGTAGTTGTTGTTGCTGTTGTTGGTATCCTTTAAATTTTTTTCTCTTGTTTTAAACTACTTATTTGGATTGATTTAGTTTATCGAGGAAAAAAAATTCAGATTCGGTTTTTGTTTTGTTTTGTTTTGTTTTGTGTGTTGTTTGGTTGGTTTCGCTGCTGTAGAAGTAAAATAACAGAAATAGAATTTTTCATCAGTATAATTGATCACTATTTTATACGGTTATTTATGTTTGTTACAGTTGTTGTTGTTGGGCTTTTTATTTAGCGTATTGGAAAATTTCCTATTCCATTTTCAATTCTTTTTTTTTTTTTCATTCGTTTTCTTTTTCTCTTTTTTTTCTTCGTTTGCTCGTTTCGCTTTTTTTCAATTAATGCACATATTCATACTGTAAATTGAATTTACCACTGAAAAATTAAATTTTTACAAATTGGAATCATCGCTCGATACAAGTACAAATACGAATACATGCACATTGAACATTCTGAATTTGGACAAACAGTTCATCTCTTCTTCTTCTTCTTCTTTTTCTCTTCGAGCAATTTTTCTTTTATTGAGTATAAATTTTTCTATTTCTTATAAGAATGTATCGAGTAGGCTCATGAGTCGTTGAGTTCTCGCCGTTTAACTACAACCAAAAATTAATTTTTTTTTCGTTTTTTTTTGTTTCAATTCAATTTAATCGTTTACATGATGTAAGGAAGTAAAAATTTGTATGGGAAAATTACACACAGGATATTTTATAATAATTTTTGATTTTTTTATATAGATTGCATTTGTATGTATTGGCTGTGATTAGTTTAGCGATCAATAAACTTGTTGGACTATATGGTATTTGGATTATTATTATTTTTCTTTGCTCTTCTTTTTTTTCTCTTGTTGGGGCTTTCCGTTTAATGTTACTAGTTAAATGTGTATATTTGGAGTTGTTGTTTTTTTTTGTCCTTTATTAGGTGTGATATATAAATAGATGGATCTATTAATTTTTATTTTTCGTTTTGGTTTTTCTTTTGTTCTTTATCTGGTTTGGTTGGTTGTTTTCTTTTCGTTTTTTTTTAATCTATTTAGCCAATAAAAATTATAACCAATTAATTGTATGACATTTCAACACAGACGCGCGGAACAAACAAAACGTTGAAATGGTTTTATCGTATGAGCACCTCCTGCTCGATATTGACACTATTCTAGTTGGTGCTGTCAAAAAAAGATAGTCGTGGTGAGAAAAATCGTATATATGAAAACGCGAGCTTTTTCATTCACTGCATGCTCGGTATTGTTGTTGTTGTTGTTGTTGTTGCTGCGCTGTGTATTTTATTCGACGCGCGACCGTTATACTCTTTTCGGGTTTATATATTTCTCTTTTTTCCGCTTAGTCTCTCTCTCTCTCACACACATACATTTAATGTGTGTGTGTGTGTTTGGTAGTCGGTGCATGCACAGGGATACAGCATTAAGGATGTCGATTGTACGCATACTCAGATAGACGTCAAATATGCTTGCACTACATCATCGTTGTTCGGGCACACAGACATTTAAACCATCGGGAATTCCACATCATTTTCGCCTTTTGCTCTCTCGCTCACAGTTTCTCCCTCGAAAAATTTCATTTCACTCGCTCTCTCTCTCTCTCGAAATTTTTGGCGCCCGCTCGCTTTCCCACCGTGCATCCAAGTAATTACTCTGGGGCCGTTTTGGCTTTGGCGATAGGAAAATGTTGGCTCACGGACACAAACACATGCACAAACAAGAGAGAGTGTGTGTGTGTATGTGTGTTGATGAGAGAACGAGCGCAGGCAGGCAGGCAAGCAATATCTCAACACATTCTCTCGCTCACAAATTTTACTTCATTGGGCAATATGAAAAGTGATGGTGGTGCGCATGCTTGGGCGCATTCTTCGGTTGTTCAGTCGCCAAAATCGTGGCATATTGATGTAGGGTTGAGCCAAAAGTGATCATCAAAATCGAGTTTGTTCATCGATTTGAATATTATACACTTTTGCCACTTAACAATCATTTGACATCCATTTTCACCCTCAACGAGATCATATTTTATTGCCCATAGCGTTCGATTGGAATGCGATTTATGCTCAACCCCGTGCCAATTTTACAATAGAAACAGTTCCGAATGGTCATCAAAGACATTTTCATTCGACGAAAATATGTTCGTGCAACGTTCGAATGGATGTTCGTTGATCTTTACTTATGCGCAAACGCATCATATCTCTGACAGATTTTCTCTTGCTTTCGCTCTCTCGTTGGCCCGTTCTCTCTTTCCATATGTGAGTGTGTTTAGGAAATATTGCGTGTGTATGCTCGATTCAATTTCTTCTTTTCACCATTATTACTATTATTATATTTGTTCGTTTCTCTGTTCATTCGTCTTCCTCGTCACATTTTCATCGTGCTCCTGCTGATGTATTGGTGGCACTTCGAATTTTTCTCAGTTGAGAAAATCAAAACGATATTCCTTTTCGGACGGAAAGTTTCAATTGCGTGACGAAGACTTGACTGCTCAATACTCATCAGGGGTTGTATTGTATATGGTTGAATGCCAACCCGAAATTAAAGCAACAACAACCAAAAAAAAACGCCACTCGCTAATGTTTCTAACTCATTTTCATTAACATATATACCACTCTTTTTCGTCTTCATCGTGTGTATGTGGTATTGGTTGTTGTTATTTTTTTTTTGGGAATAATTTATGACTCGAAACAATGACGACTACAGATGTACGAGAAAGCGGAGCCCTTTGAACTGATTGCTTAACAATAGCCCTTATATCTCACTCACTCTCCCTCCCTCTCTCTTTGTGTGTATGTGTTAGCTCGTGTTGCCTGTCATATGATCTTGAAACAAAAGGCACCTCAACAAAAATATGATATGGCATTGATGCAGTCACGTCGAATTGGAGTACTTAACCTTAATAGAATACAATACGGAAGTCGATAGTCAAGTGGCTCCCCAAAATTCCACTTTCGATTCGTTTTTGTTGCAACTGTTTCAATCCATCGATTTTCTCATTGTTTATCGATTTTGAAAGCGCTTTTACTTAACTGCTCTTCTTCTTATTTTTTATGACTTTTACTTACCAATACATTGGCAGGCGGACGAAATTTACGCGTGTGGAAAAGCATCGGCGTCGCCGTCGCCGTCGTCGTCGTCGTCGTCGATGGGTTTGTTTGCGTGTATATGCTAAGTGGAAAAAAAGCACTCGAAAGCTTGCCGAAATGCTTGGAATTTACGATTGCATCCGTTAACGGAATTTCCATCATACGAAACTCGAATGGAAATGAACACTTCAAGGACTCGGAAGTCTTACATTTGAATAATCACCGGCTGAAAATGACAGATAACTGAGGATATATGCTGAGCATAGAAATTCAGCAAGCTGAGATTGGGACATTTTGACATTATGACGTGTAGTCCATACAAATTTATGATGACACGGATACAATTTCGTGCATTTCATCATGCATTTATATGGGCTACGCGTCATAAAGTTAAAATGTCCCAATCTCAGCTTACTGAGTTTCTATGCTCAGCATATATCCTCAGCTATCTGTCGTTGACTGCTGAAAATCGCTCATTCGACGTATTTGTAAAACATAGATTTCACGAGTGAGAGAGAGAGAGAGAGAGAGAGAAAAGGAGCAAGAGTCGCGCGCGCGA